AAAGCACAACCGCGGCATGGCGCATCGCAATTCAGCAGCGTCTTTGAAGCGTTTCCATGCATGTAACGTGTCCAGGCGATTCGGGTGTGTATCGAAGATGGTCTCCCGAGCTAGCATCACGTGCTTCTATGTGTCCGGGCCATTCAGGGGGATATCTAACATGTTTGCCCCGAGCAAAGACCACGTGTTCTACCAGCAAGGTTGCGCTTCCCCGTGGCACGTCCCGCGGTGCGTCCCCATGGCACGCCCCCTGGCACGTCGCCTGGTGCGTCCTTTGGGACGTTCCGCGGCGCGTCCTCCTGGCATGCCCACCTGTCAATTATCTCTGGGGCAGCTACTATGTGCTCAGGCAGCTCGAGCTTAAGATCCAGATTAGTTCGGTCAGGACTCGGACGCAAAGGAGGACTCGATCCACAACGCTATAGAGCACAATCGTGGCATGGCACATCGCAATTCAGCACGGCGCAGCACAGCACAGCCCTCGGCACGGTGCATCAAGATCGGTACATTCAGCATTGCGTTTGCCCGTCGCCCAATCAGGTGTCTTTGAAAAGTTGTCAGGCCTTACATATCTATATTCTTTGCCGGGTTCGTGGGTCGACCGTGTTGGGACACCACTGGGCACCACAGGACACCTCGGGCCACCACATCGATCTCAGTATCGATCTCACTATCGATCTCACTATCGATCTCACGCAACGGGACAACACTGGACACCGCGGGACACCGCGAGCCACCGCTGGACGGGCGGGGGGGGAGAATCATTTGTCTTGACTTCGCCCTAGCAACGGCGGACGCCACGGGAAGCCACGGGACACCGCGGGCCGCCGACGAATGGGCGGGAGGGGGAGAATCATTTGTCTTGATTTCGCCTTAGCAGCGGCGGGTTCATTCCTCTCGCGCGACCACGCAGCTTCGCTTCGCCCGCACGCACGACACGAACGAAACGAAATGATTTCCCGCATGGGTGTCTCCGTTCCACTGCGATCTCACCCCCCAACCTCCGACGACCACCCTTCGGGTGATACGGAGGTCGTGGGGGGGAGAGGGGGGGAACCAACATCTGACTCAATCGATCTCACTATCGATCTCATTCAACGGGACACCACGGGGCACTTGTCGATCTCACTATCGATCTCACTCGACGGGACACCACGGGACACTAAGGGCCACCACGGGACACCTCTCGATTTCACTATCGGTCTCACATCGATCTCACGATCGATATCACTCAACGGGACACCATAGGACACCACGGGACACCTCGGGGCACCACATCGATCTCAATACCATTCTCACTATCGATCTCACTATCGATCTCACTCAATGGGACAACACGGGACACCACGGGACACCACGGGACACTTGTCGATCTCATTATCGATCTCAATTTTTGGGACACCACGGGACTCCTCGGGAAACCAAATCGATCTCAATATCGATTTCACAATCGATCTCTCTATCGATCTCTTTCAACGGGACACCACCGGACACCACGGGACACCGCGGGACACCTGTCGATCTCACTATCGATTTCACGATCGAGCTCATTCAACGGGACACCACGGGCCACCACGGGACACCTCGGGGCACCATTCGATCTCACTATCGATCTCACTATCGATCTCACTTTTTGAGACACCACGGGACACCACGGGACACCGCGGGATACCGTTGGACACCGCGAGCCGCCGCCGGACGGGCGGACGGGGGAGAGTCATTTGTCCTGACTTCGCCCTAGCAACGGCGGATACCCCTGGACACCACGGGACACCACGGGACACCGCGGGACACCGCGGGCTGCCGCCGGACGGGCGGGAGGGGACTTCGCCTTAGCAACGGCGGGTTCATTCCTCTCGCGCGCCCACGGAGCTTCGCCTCGCCCGCACGCACGACACGAACGAAACCAAACGATCTCCCGGTTGCGGGTCTCCATTCCCCTGCGATCTCACCCCTCAACCTCCGATATACATATAAGTATGTTTCTGCGCTCCTATGTGTGTACGCATGTATGTATACATGCATGCATGCATGTATGTATGTATGTATGTATATATGTATGCATGCATGTGTGCATGTATGTATGGACTTGTGTTCGTATGTATGTATGTATGTGTGTGTATATCTATATATATATATATATGTATCTATGTATGCATGCATGTATGTATGTGTGTATGGATGTATGTATGTATGTATGTATGTATGTATGTATGTATGTATGTATGTATGTATGTATGTTTGTATGTATGTATGTATGTATGTATGTATGTATGTATGCATGTACACGTACGTATGCATACACATAAATACATACATACGTTTGTGTGCGGGCTTTCATAACTTAATGCGACATGCGAGGGGGCGGGGGGGATTCGGGCGGGCGGGAGGGGGGGGTCTCCGACGCGAGCCTGTCTGGTCGACCCTGGCTTGCGCGCACCTTGTTGCGGGCGCAGATCGTCAGTTTCAAGCGATCAGGTGGACATGTTGCTGCGTGCATGTGCGTCGCGAGAAGGGCCGCGCGCGAACTTCTCGATCCGTTCAGGCATCGCGTGGGGGCATGCGTATTTACCGCGCGTGCATGCGTACACACGCATCGACGCATGATGCGTGTATACAGTAGTTAGATATGTATACATAATTTTCTATACACACATCTATACACATACAAACACAACACGATATGTGCCAGCGCGAAGGCTTTCCGTCACACGAGGGCGTTTTCGTGGGCACGACTATTGTGTGGCCACGAAGCCCAGCAAGGCATGCACGCGGGCCCTGCAGGCAGGAGGCCCTCGGGGCCTTCGGGTTGCCGAATGGCCCTGCTGGGCCGACTCGGTTGTGATTTCGGTTCCGCTGGCCGCGCCGCTACAATCATGGATTCTGGTTTCTTGGAGGGCGCCCAAGAAGGCCGGAGGGCATTTGGAACCTTTTTGGGGCTGCCTTGGGGCCGCTCGGAGGTATGGAACAGGCTATATCAAACTATCTTCGGCTATCTTGGGCCATCTTGGAGTCCGCCTTGGGCAGCCGAGGGCTTTGCCCTCTTGGAGCCATCGTGGGCCCAGATTGGAACTCTAACTTCCCGCCGCCCCCCGCCCCCAGGCCAAGGGGAGGGTGGAAGGGGGAGGGGGTGGGGAAACGGGGAAGCCCCTCCCTTGAGCGGAGGAAGGGGTGAGAGAAAGCGCAATTCGTTAAAGGACCAACGCCCAGAGGGCTGGTGGGATTTGGCAAGCCCTAGCGTTCTAGGAGTTCCCTCTGTTTGCGTCTTTTTCGCTCCTCCTATTTTTCCCCGCGTTTCCACTAGGTCTCTCGTTTTCTCTTCCGCCCTCAGTGCAACGTGTTAAGATACATTGCGTTATGTCGCGCTTCCCTATCTATTGTCGTCGCTGTCCTGCTCGCTTATCGTGCGTCGAGGCCCCCCTCCTCCCATACATTATGGTGGTGATTTTCCTTGACCAAATGCCCCGTCCGAGTCATACTTGACAAACACGCCTCCAGCGGCGCATGAGCTGGCCGTAAGTCACATTGTAGCGTGACGCAATGCAACCGTATTCTTTTGGGCACCGTACTCGCCAGATAGTAAGTCGTCACTGCTGGGCCACGTAACCCCATCCCGCGGATAGTACAGAAACGGTTCCTGGAACCTTTGTATCTGTTTATCCACGGGATTGAATGTGGTTAAATTGCCACTGCAGGCGGGGAGGCCAAACTTAATGATCCTTTTTCCTGGAAAGGGCTCGGTTTTTGTAAACGCCCGGTTTTGATTTGGGGAGGCCGGCGGATGTTTCTTGCGATGAATAACAAGTTTGAAGAGGGCCAGCGGGATTATTTCTGAGGAGGTCTCGAGCGAAACGCGGGTTTTTGAGTTTCCGCTTTGTAGAACACGCAGTCAAGTGAGAGTTTTCGTTTGTTGCGGATGTCTCGAGCGAAACGTTCGTTGTGTAGAATCTGCGAGGATGTCTCGAGCGAAACGCTGGGTTTTGTAGACTTCCAGAAACCTGGACGCCCGAGCATGCCCCAGGGGGCTCTGGGAGTGCGGGCGCAGCGAATTTACGATGGATTGTGGTTTTGGGAGCGCGGCCGCAGCGTAATTTACAAGGGATCGCGGCCTTGGGAGCGCGGACGCAGCGTAATTTACGAGGGATCGTGACCCTGGGAACGTGAATCCCGTGTGATCTACAAGGGATCGTGGCATTGTGGTCGCGAATCAAGCGAAATTCGTTGGTTGTTTTGGCACTGGGAGCGTGAATCCCGCGTATTTCATGTGGGAGCGTGGCCCTGGGAGCGTGCATCCGTTGTGAGTAATTTACAATGGATTGTGGCCCTGGGAGGGCAAACCCAATGTAATTTATAAGGGAAGGGGTCTGGGCACTGGGAGCGCGGAACCCATGTAATTTTGGAGGGATCGTGGCCTTGGGAGCGTGGATCCAGTGTAAATTACTAAGGATCGTGGCCCTAGGAGCGCGAACCCTGTGTAATTTACAAGGGATCGTGGCCCTGGGAGCGCGAAACTAAAACAATGTACGAGGGATCGTGGCCCTAAGAAGGATGGCGAACCATTCGGGGGCTTGTGTTTTCCGCTTGGGATTGATTCCTCATCGGGGGCCCGGCAATGGCGCATCGCAACTCAGCACGGCGCAGCACAGCACAGCCCTCGGCATGGTACATCAAGGTCGATACATTCAGCATTTGCTCGTCGCCCAATCAGGTGTCTTTGAAACGTTGCCACGCCTTACATTTCTATATTCCTTTCTGGGTTCGTCATGTTTCCAAAGTTCCTGTCGAAGCTTTGATCTTCATGTCATGCATCGCACCAGTCATAAGCATTATTACAAGCGATATCTCCGGGAAGAAGTGTAATATCAATCCTCATTGGACCCCGAATTCGATTTCCCCCACGGGCATTTTCATCGGAGTAGGGTTCTGGTGATGTGATGTCTTCGAAGAGATCGGCACGATCAGTTGGATTTAGCCACATCGGTCGCCCTGTCCCTGTCGAGGCCGCCGAGAAGGTGGAACCGGACGAGGTCTGCGACGTGTGCGGCACCGTGTATGCGAACAAGGACCTCATTAGAAGGGCGAATTGTCTTGCGCGATGTACGCAGGAGGAGGCACGGAGAGGATGAACTTGGGTTTCAAATTCTAGACGCTTCGCGTATCCCCACCAGCCCGTCCAGAAACGACGCCCAGGCGAGTAGAGGGTCATCCTGAGGGGCTTTTCGGCGTCTTGGGTGCCTCGGGGGGGCCTCTGTGGGCCGTTCGGGATCCTCTTTGGGGCCTCCTGGGGGCCTCTTGGGGCCTCTTGGGGCCATCTTGGGGCCTTTGGGGGCCTCCTGGGCGCTTCTTGAGGCCTCCTGGGCGCTTCTTGGGTGCCTCTGGGGGGTCTCTTGGGGCCTCTTGGGGGTCTCTTGGGGGCCTCCTGGGGGCCTCTTGGGGGGCCTCGGAGCCATCTTGGAGGAGATCGATCAACGAAGGGGGGTTCCCCAATTACAGTCCCCCCCTCAGGAGCCACGATCCTCGTGAGGGGTGTAGAATTTTAGCCTTCCCAGGAGTCGATCTTGGACGCTCTAACTACCCGCGGCCCCCCCTGTCCAGGTCAGTGGGGAGGGGGTAGGGGGAGGGGTAAACCCCTCCCCGAAGGGGAAGAAGGAGGGGTGGAAGAGGAAACGCTCTAAACCACCGACGCCCAGAGGGCTGGTGGGATTTCGCAGAATTTCTCTGAGGTCTCCTCTTGGTGTACATTGTCAGTACCCCCATGGCCTAACTACTTCCGCCACGCGAGTATCGCTTTAGTCCCAGGTGTGCACAGCGTTGCGATCAGAGTTCGATGTCGCCGGTTGAATCCTGTCTTCAAGTCGTTTTGGGCCGACCGGGAAGTCAATGCCAATTCAGTTTGGGAGCTCGTATTTCCTCGACTCCTGTCTCATCCGGCTTAATCTGGCCAAGCCAAAATTATCTTATTCTTCAAAATCGTGTTGATCCTGGTCTACTCCAGAGTGGTGGCCCCATCGTCGGGCTCATTTCACAGCCCGTGATCGTTCCCACGAGGATTTCCCGGGAGGTTTCCTATGATCTCCCAGCCTCTCTGCCTTCATTTGTTGTTATTCTCTCTCTCTGCCGTGTCCCTTGGCCGGCTCGCTGCCGTGGAAGGAGCAGCAGGACCTGCACCTGAACTACAGGCGGCCCTGCGCCGCCCTACAGCCAGCCAGCTTCTGGGAAGCGTTGGGCGCACTCGACTCCCGGCAGTCTGTGTTGCACGACGACGGAAATCGGGAGCCTTCAGACGGGGTCAATGCAAGCGGGGGTCAGCCAGAGCGCAGGAGCTTGCAGGATCCTGCAAAGAAAGGGCTGCCTTGACCCGTGTTAGCGTGTAGGATACTGCAGGATCCTGCAGGCTTTTGCAGGATCCTGCAAAGCCTGACTGACCTGGGTTTGGATTGACCCGGGTCAGTGGAGTGGGAGAGCGGGAACGCGAAGCAATCTGACAACGGCGAACGCGCATGCGGGAGGACTCGAAGGAGAGACAGTGGTATCAATGTAAACAGTCGACGTTCCGTGTGGATTTCGTGGATCCGCGCTGGACCCCCCTAGCGGTGCTTCCCCTGGAGCGCTTCGCGTGCCAGGGAGGGGGGTCAGCGCAGATCCGAGACATCCGCGCCATGTGTGCGTCAGTTCCCTTCCTCAAAAGACGGTTGGCGGGACGAGGCCTGCAGGAAGGCAGGCGAAACAGGGGCTGCGAGCAGGGAGCAGCTCTGGCCTTGTGTGATTATTTAATCGCTTCGCTCATTCCGCTGGCCCACAATGTCGCACCGTGGTCGCCTGTCCGAGTGGTCGTTTGCAGTGTGGAGCTGCGGCGTCGGGAGCTGTGTAGTGTTGGGGGCGTTCTTGGGGCCCTCTTAGGCCGTCTTGGAGGCCTCTGGGGCCGTCTTGGAGCCGTCTTGGGCCGTCTTGGGGCCCTCTTGGGGGCCTCTTGGTCTCTCTTGGGGCGATCTTGGAGGCCTCTTGAGCCGTTTAGGGGCGTCGGGGAACCGAAAATGTTGAAACACACAAATCTGTCCAAAACCCGAGAAAAAAACATGATTTTTGCCTCTAGGGGCCCTCTTGGGAGTGCTCCTGGAGGTCTCTTGGGGCATCTTGGAGGCTTGTTGGGTCATCTTGGAGACGTCTTGGGCCGTCTGGAGGCCATCTTGGGCGCCGTGGAGCGATCTTCGGGCGTCTCGGACCTCTCTTGGATTGTGTTGGGGGCCTCTTGGGGCCCTCTTGGGGCGATCCTGGAGGATCTGGGGGAGTGTCCCGGGCTCCGCCCCGGCTCCGCCCGGGCTCCGCCCGGGGCACTTTTGATCCAGGGACCCCCAGGGGCCGCCCTGCGCGCGCGAACTAGAAATACTGTTTACCAGTTACCGGAGATCTTAGCACGCCTCTGGCCCGTTGGGCCGGCGAATTTGCCGTTCGGGGGCAGCGCGTGCGCACGCATAAGTCAGGAGGAAAATAAGCACAGACGCAACCGTGAATTCCATCGTAAATGAAGGAAAATCTGGGAAGTGGAGGGGAAAGACGAATATTTAGAGGAAAAAACTTTGAACTTGGAATGTGATTCTAACATGCGTGTCTCCCTGGGCACGTTTGTAGCAGAATCGCAACAGGAAGACCCAGGAGGAGGACATGTGTCTCCTGAGCATTCCGGGATGCTCTCAGAACTCCCCATAGATTTGGGCCCAGAAGGGGCCACCACGCAGATTCGCAGTGGAGGGCGGCGGGGGTGTGGCGCGGGCAGTTGGGGCTCTTTGGGAGGCCTCTCCTATCTCGCTCCTTTCTCATTGACGCCCAGACCTCCCCATTCAAGAAGCTCGCCATCATCTGTGGGCCGGGCCCATGCGCACGGCCCTCATGAAAAGGCGCATCCTGGCAGGCGCTGGCGGCCGCGACTGTCGAGATCCACCCGTCTCTGCCCATCTCAGGGGCCTCTCTCAGCAACTTTGGAGGCGATCTGCCATCTCGAGTGCCGCTTAAGGGGGCTTTAGACTATCATGGAGGAGCCAAGCCATGCAATCTCAGGCTCTTTGCCAACAAGCGACGCTGAGGTCGAGGCCTTTTGGAGAAGGGGGAACAGGAACCGACTTGCGGGTAAGGGAGATGGACCCGCGTGGGAGAGGTGGCTTCCTTTCTAAACCGTTTGTGGCCAGAAGCCTCTCCGGGATTAGGCCATTCCTAGCAAGACGGGGGTCCCCAGGTCTACCTTCGTAAGGCATTCGCCTTCGAGGGAACTCTCCACTAAGCCCAGATTGGTGGGATCGTTGATTCTTCACGGTTCGCGTATCGGGCACCCCAGTTTGGGTTCAGTGGGGTCTCGTTGCGCTGCCGTCCTCTTCGGTGCGAGGACTTCGGCATGTGTGGCTCTGTGCGCCCGTCGGTTGCTTTCTCCTACATAGCCTTCGTTTTCGACATGTGCCACTGCCGTACAAACAAGAGGTACTGCCGTTTGCAGTCCTGTCTGTGTCGAGGTTACCTCCTCTTCACTCTTGCGCTGACACGGTGCTGTTGTGTCGCCTACGGCACGGACGTCGTCTTTGTGCTGCGCCTACGTGATGGTCGCCACCGGGGTCTCCCCGCCACCGAGTTGGGAGTGTTGTTCTTGGCCTCTTCTTCTGAGTGGCTGCCCGCGCGCTCACTTTGCTTGCCTCTCTCTTGCTGCCTAGTCGCGGCCCGGCTAGTGTTTTGACGACTTTCGACTTGCTTCGCGAGCCCGCTGACCAAAAAGTATTGGGCACCCCTGGCCCCTTACTAGTGTTCGGACTGCTTTCGACCCGCCTCGCGAGCCTGTTGACCAAAAAGTATCGAGCACCAAGGCTCCGCCACAAGCCGCGGCCCTTTCGGGCACCAAGGCTCCGCCACAAGCCCGCAGTTGCGACCCCCCGACGAGGCCGGTTTACTGGAGGCATTCCAGGAGGCGCACGCGTACGCGCGTCTCCACGCGCCGTTCGCCCCCTTGCGCCAGCCCCCTTCCCAGAGGACATCATGCTCCAGCTGCAAGATGCCAGGAGCCTACCAAGGGCACAAACCATCCAGATGCAGCCACACCCCTAGACTCCCTGTCTGACCCCAGGACGCTCCTCCAAGCCCTGGGGCCCCCTCCCTGCTCCCTTTTCGCCCCTTCACGGTCTATTCGGCGGTGGAAGAGTGCGGTCTAGCACCTCAGCCCCCTCCTTGCCGAGAGACACGCCCCCCTGCCAACGCCCCGCGAGCTCTCTGGGCTCTCTTGCGCAACACCCCTTGGCAGAACCCCGCGTAGCAGGACCTTTGCCTCGGGGGCCTCTTGGGGGCCCCTTGGGGCGCCTCTTGGGGCCATCTTCGAGGCGATTGATCAAAGGAGGGAGGCTCCCCGATCGGCGCCCCCCCTTACGGGGGCAACGATCCTCGTGAGGGGTCTCAGAATTTGGCCCTCCCAGGGCCGATCTTGGACGCTCCGCCGGATCGTTGCCCTTCCCGTCCTGGTCCAGGGGAGGGAGTATGGTGGAGGGGTCGATACACCCTCTCCGCGCGCAAGCTGTCTAGTTCACTCCCGCCCGCCCTCCCACCACATAGATGGTATCCGAGTCTCGGCATAGCCAGGGGTCGCCACTGGATGGACAACCGCGGGGAACCACAACGGACGCCAGGTGCGCGACGCTCGCCGCGGGCTCCACAGTCGGTTGGTGTGCCATCCATATAAAGAACGTGATGCCCCCCCGTTCGCATGGTCGAGATGCTGATGTGGGGGGCGTCAGCATTGTCCTGGGCCTGCGCACAGCAAGCGCCATCATGCGGGCACCACCGCCGTCCTTGTAAACAAAAACCCACCAAGTGATCGCGGGTGGCCAGCACAATACCCACGGCGTTGTCGCATTGTGTATGTTGCATTGTTTCTGGCACGGATGGTGGTCTTACACAAGCGGCTTCACGAAGGGTGTCCCGCCATCTCTGTCAAAACACAATACAACGTGTTCGCAGGGCGCCAGCGCACTGTCCAGATTTTGCTGCAATGTGCACTTCGTTTTGACTTGCGACAGGCATTGTGGAGGGTGTTGGCAGGGTGGGCCCCGCAATGTGCATTCTGTATTGTTTTTTGACAGGAGTGCTGGGGGGGGGGGGGCCCTCACGGTGTGCGCATGGTTCCGGGTTGGCTGCCGGCCGGTCGGGGGAGGCGGTGTTCACTAACTGATCGGGAACAGTGATCAAGACACCTTCTCCGCGCGGAAGCCGTCTAGCTCACTCCCGCCCGCCTCCCACAACACAAATGGCATCCGAGTCTTGGCGTAGCCAGGGGTCGCCACTGGATGGACAGCCACGGGGGACCAAAGCGGACGCCATGTGCGCGACGCTCGCCGCAGGCTCCACATGCGGTTGGTGTGCCATCCTTGTAAAAAACGTGATGCCCCCCCGTTCGCATGGTCCAGATGCTGATGTAGGGGGCGTCAGCATTGTCCTGGGCCTGCGCACAGCAAGCGTCATGATGCGGGCACCACCGCCGTCCTTGTGTAAAAAACCCTACCAAGTGATCGCGGGTGGCCAGCACAATACCCACGACTTTGTCGCAGCGTGCACTTTGCATTGATTTTGACACGGATGGTGGTCCTGCACAAAGCGGCTTCACTAAGGGTACCCCACCATCTCTGGCAAAACACAATATAACGTGTTCACAGGGCGCCAGCGCACTGTCCAGATTTTGCTGCAATGTGCACTTCGTATTGTCTTGTGACAGGGATTGTGGAGGGTGTTGGCAGGGTGGGCCCCGCAATGTGCATTATGTATTGCTCCCAACCATCCTGAGGTGTTGGGTCCTCGTTTTGAAGAGACAGCGCCCCGCGTCACTCCTTCCTTCCTTCCTCCCGCTGCCTCCTCCCTCCCCCTTGCCTCTGCCCTCCGCATGTTTCTGTTTCGGCACATCCCTCACGCGGTCCGTGGCCCCATAGGGAGCTCCACCGAAGGCCCCAGTGGCAGGGTCCGCATGGCGGCCCCGCATTTTGGCGCACCCCTCACACGGTTCGTGGCCCCATAGGGAGCTCCACCGAAGGCCCCAGTGGCAGGGTCCGCATGGCGGCCCCGCATTTTGGCGCACCCCTCACACGGTTCGTGGCCCCATAGGGAGCTCCACCGAAGGCCCCAGTGGCAGGGTCCGCATGGCGGCCCCGCCCCATTTTGGCGCACCCCTCACACGGCTCGTGGCCCCATAGGGAGCTCCGCCGAAGGCTCCAGCGGCAGGGTTTGCATGGCGGCCCCGTTCCATTTTGGCGCACCCCTCACACGGTTCGTGGCCCCATAGGGAGCTCCACCGAAGATGATGCCCACAATTGCGGTATTAACAATTGCTTATGGTTGGGTCTTTCGCCAGGCCAATTTTATTGAGAGGGATGGTGGGGGGGGTGCCCGCATGGTTCTAAGTTGGCTGCCGGCCGGTCGGAGGAGGGGATGTTTCTTAATAGGAAACAATGATAAACCCCTCCCTGGAGGGGAAGATGGGCCCTTGGAAGAGGACAGAAAGTCAACGTTGGACCACCTGTCGCCCAGAGGGCTGGTGGGATTGTTCACGGGCGCTGGGACTGCCCACGGTTCTTGGCGGGCTCAGAAAAAAATCATTTCAGCGATGATATCTTGCCTGGGATCTGCTTGATCGAGCAGTGCCAGCTACGCTGATTTGAGAGGGCTGTGGTCCAGGTGCCCAAAATGGCAACATCTGACGACCCTGTCCTTCCCAGTCAGGACATTATCGTTGAGCTGATCGCCCTTCGTGGCTTGTCCCGCTCCGCTCCCTTGAACTCTTGGGCCAGATCTCGGGCCTTCCAGATCCACTCACAGGGTTCATGGGTTCAAGCTTGAAGTCTGGAGGGCGAATGTGGGCTCACCCCAAGGCAGGGTGGAGAAGGCTGCGCAGCGAAGCGCATCAGCTCCTTTTGTGTTCTCTCGCCTCCTGTGGCCCTCGCGGCGCGCCTCGTCTCAGGGTGCACAAAGCTTACGTGGAGGCCCGCGAGAGGTTCAAGGATCCGGGGCTCGGCTTGCATTGCAGACCCCGCCCGTGTGGGGGTCCCAGCCCAGCACACCGTCTCAGCAGCTGGGGGGAACGTGTGTTGGCTTTTGTGCTAAAGCGAAGGTGGATGACGGAGAGCGATGTGATGCAGGGCAGTGGGGCGAGGAGGAGGAGGAGGATAATGGGCAGGACGCTTGGGAGCTATTGTGACTCCGTCTCGGGCGTTGGGCCCTCTCCTCTGGCCTCTGGCAGCAGCACCAAATGGTGGAGGCGAAGGAGGAGGAGGAGGTGGAAGGGGGCGGAGGGGACATGAGGCGGAAAACAAGGTAGTGGTAGCAGTAATGGAGGTGAGGGGCAGTGAGAGCACGAGCCTCGAGTAGCCAACCATGTTGTTCAGTTTGATCTTGCCGACGGTAGGGGTCAGCATGGGGTTGCAATTCGTGAGCCCGCGAAGCTGGAGTCACGGCGGGCCTTCAGCGGGGAAGCGGCAGTCGAGCGGGGTTCTACTTCGGATGGGGCGCAATGGTAATTTTGTCAGGTGTTTCGCACTGGAGCGCATTGCGGCACTTGGCGGGGATATTGAGACGTGGATTGGTTGGTTGCGGGGCATTTCCGCTGAAGCACGGCGGTGCCTGATGGGAGACCAGACAAACCAAGTTGGTTCGCCGACCGTTTTTCCAGACTTCAACTTTTGATCGGGCGACTGAGACACATGAGTTTCGAAGGTGGGTCCGAGTAGTCCCGGACTGCGTGCCTGACGGATGCAGAGTCCGCGGGCATGGATTGAACGAGGTTTGGTGGACACTATTCGGGACCGCAGCCACGCGCGCGCGTGCCGTGCCGAGCTCCCATTTCTTTTCGGGGTCCCATGCGAGCCTGCAGGCTTGACATGTAGTATCTGATATTTTTCCGTTCTTGCCGACTGGCCTGTGCCTATCATGACCATCATACTACATAGTTTACCTCATGTGTCCATCGCCCCCTCACCCGAGTGCTGCCGCTCCGTTGCAGCATCGTTTGTGTCTGTAACCCCTTTCGCTCAAGTTTTTTCCCGAACCAGGTTCCGAACAGTGTATGGCAGGGCTGCTGCCAGCCGCCCTGGCCGGGCTGGCGCAGGTGGGTGGGCAGGCGAGCCTCCTCTGGCTCTCGCGCTGCCCGTCTGTGCCTGCCTGCCCGCCCTGCCCCCTGTGCCCAGCGTGCCCCGGGGCAGCCTCTCTCGCCCAGTTCGGGCCTGAATCATGTGCGTAGCTCCGCTCACGCACGGGATCGGGCCCGATACCGTCGGCAACGCAACAAGTCCCTTGCGAGGCCTGGGGCCTGCAGGACAGTGGCGCTGCTGTCGGTCACGTCGTTTGCCGCTGCCCTCGGCGGTCTCTCGCCGCGTGCGCGGCCTCTGCTCGGTGCGCGCGGTGCGCCCGCGTGCAGCTGCCTGCTTTTAGCAGCGGGAGCTGAACCAGGTATGTAGGTTAGCCCACGCACGGGATCGGGCTCCGACCCTTTTTCAGCATGGCTTTGTGCTCGGTGCTGCCTTTTAGCAGCTGCGGCTGCCTTAGCAGCAAGCCTCGCCGTGGGCTCGCCCACGCACGGGATCGGGCTTCGTCCATAGGCAATGCAACCAGTCCAGTGTGTGGCCTTGGGCCGTAGGGACACGTTGCTCTGCCGATGGGTCTTGTCTGTGCTGCGCTCGCCATTATATTTTAGCGGCATTCTCCGTGCCCTGGCTCTGTCTCTCTGACCTCCCCCTCCCATTCAGTCTGTCGACCTGTTTGGCGGTGCTGGTGCTACGCAGCCAGCCCTGGAACGCGGGCCGTGGGATTCCGCTAGACGGGCGATACATTCGTGCTGCCCGTTTGCCGACCTCTTTGGCGGTGCTGGTGTCACGCAGCCAGCCCTGGAAATCGGGCCTTGGGGTTCCGCAATTCGGGAGGTGGTGTGTATTCTGCTTTGGGAAGGGCGGGGCTCGGTGCGGAGGGGGTCTGGGTTTGCCAGGCCGCTTCGACCGTTGCCATGCCCCCCCCCGCCGAATTGTTTTTGGTGGACGTCTTCAGAGGTTCATTTTTTGGAGCCAGACCCAGGAGTAAAGGTTCGCCCTCGCTCGGGATCGGGCCCCGCACCCTCGGCAAGGCAACCCGTCCGTCAGTGTGGCCTGCGCCAAATCAACGGGTTGCTCTGCTGAAGGGAGGTGCAGTCGAGCGCTTGCCTCCGTCTCGGCGTGCTTGCGCGCCTCCTGCTCTGCTCAATGCAGCTTCCGGCGCGTTTCTGCGACAGCGCCCTGCCCGCCCCCAGACGTGGAGGGCGACCCGAGAGCGTAGGTCCGCCCACGCTCTGGTTCGATCTCCGCAGGCCCGAGGAGCAACGTCGGTCGGCCGTGGCTGTTTGCCTAAGGACCTAGATGTTTCTCTGGTGCGGCGCACAGCCCAGCTGTGTACCAGCTTGCTAGACCGCGCAGCGTGGCCTCTGCCAGCTGCCGAGCGTGCTGAGTCGCTTCGATTGCTTGGATCGGTCATCCGCTTGCCTCGGCTGAGGCGGTTGATTGCTCTCGGCCGTCGGGCGATCTGCGCGCGTGCGCCGTGGCGCGCGAGACCGAGCGTTGCCTCCGCAGGGCCAGAGGAAAACATATCGGTCTGAGGGGCATTAGGAGCTAGGAGCTCCTGACCCCTTCAGACGCGGGGATCGTCATCATCATCATCATCATCATCATCATCATCATCATCATCATCATCATCATCATCATCATCATCATCATCATCATCATCATCATCATCATCGTCATCGTCATCGTCATCGTCATCGTCATCGTCATCGTCATCGTCATCGTCATCGTCATCGTCATCATCATCATCATCACCATCAGCATCATCATCATCGCCGTCTTCATCGTCATCATCCCAGTTTCGATGGCGAGGGGGGTGAGCGGTAGGCCCTTTCGCCGAGAGAGCATTGGCAGGGGTCGCCCAACCAAAGCTTCATGCGGGGGGGTCGCGCATGCAACAGGACCACCACACAAACATCATGATTTGCTCGTGCGCATTTGTGTGACGCTACCACTATGTATGGAGGGGGCGGCTTGGGAGAGATGAATCTTCGGGGGGCCAGGAGGGCACCGCCCCGAGGGGGATGGACCCCCGCGGCCAGACTGTGCCGGTCTCGCGCCCTTGCGTAACTACCCGCGTAAGGTCGCTTGTGAAACCGCGTGAGGTCAGGCTTTGCGGTCCCTCCCCAACGAGGTCCAGACCCTTGCTGCAGTTCTCCGCCGCAGCACGGTGGCACGGCCGGCCAGCTGCAACGGAAGGAAGGGATCCGTAGCCGCGTAGGCTTGGACGTGGCTCAATGCGCGTAGCATCAAGCCAGAGCCCGACCAAGCGCATCCGCTGTGGCCCCGTAGCCAAACCAGCACCTGGGGATCGCGCTGCGACCCCTTAGCCAAAAGGCCAAATGGAGACCGCGATGCGGCCCCAGCGAAAGCGCATTGCGAGGGGATCACAATGTGAACCTGGAGCCAAACCGGCACCCAGGGATCGCGATGCGACCCCTCCGCCAACAGGCCAATTGGGGACCGCGATGCGGCCCCAGCGAAAATTGATTGCATAATATAACCCTGTTGCCAAACCCGCATCTGGGGATCGCGATGCGACCCTTCGGCCAAAATGCTAATGGGGATCACGATGTGACCCCAGCCAACAGGCGTAGCGAGGCGATCACAATGTGACCCAGCAGTCAAAGAGGCCACAACAATGATCGATGCGACCCCAGTACGACGCTGTAACCAAACGGCACACCATGGGATCGCGATGTGACCCGCTTGCCAAATTTACAACATACCCATGGATCGCAAGGTGACCCTGCACCCCAGGGACAGCGATGTGACCCACCATGGGCTCACTAAGTGGCGGGGGGTGGAGGGGCAGTGTCACCGCTATGTGGCCCAACCCATTCACCAGACTGAACTTGAGATGGAGTGAGTGGGCTTGAACTTGGGACGTGCGCTTCGTTCGTCCCCAGCAGCGGCATTGGTAGTCCAACGTCACAGTTTGCTGTTGTATCAAAAACAAAAACGGGGATCGTCCAAAAGCTTTGCCCCCCCGCGTAAATGCTTGCGTGAGTGCGTGTAAAAACCGCTTGAGGTAAGGCCACACAGGCGCTCCTCGCAAGATTCGTGACCCTACCACGATGACGGCTTGGGGGGGATGAGTCTTCGGGGGGGCCGGGGGGCTGCGCCCCGAGGGGGATGGACCCCCGCGGCCAGACTGTGCCGGTCTCGCGCCCGTGCGTAAATACCCGCGTGAGGTTGCGTGTGGAACCGCGTGAGGTCAGGCTTTGCGGCCCCTCCCCAGCGAGGTCCAGATCCTTGCTGCATTCTTCCGCCGACGCACAGCACGGTGGCACGGCCGGCCAGCTGCAACTGAAGGGAGGGACCCGTAGCCGCGTCGGCTTGGGCGTGGCTCAAGGCGCGTAGCATCAATCGTCAAGCCAGAGCCCGAGCAAGCGCATCTGCCTTGCCCCGCCGCCGCCCACAACGCCGCCGCCGGCGCAATGACGGACGAGCGGTTCTTGCCCGAACCGTCGTTCAACTTTTGATTGGCAATCGAACCTCAGCCACCACGGCCACGGCCGTGGCCGTGCTGACCGCGATGGCCATGGCCCCGTGGCCGTGGTGGCCGCGGCCGTGGTAACCGTGGCCGTTTGGCCGTGCGGGTGGTCCCGTGACCGTTCTTTGGCCTTGGCCGTGGTGGTCGTGGCCGTGGTGACCGTGCTCGTGGTGACCGTGGCCGTGGTGGCCGTGGTCGCGGCCGTGGTCGCGGTCGCCGTGGCCAGTGGCCGTGGCCGAGGCCGTAAACGTGGCCGTGATGGCCGTCGCCGTGGTGGCTGTGGGCGTGGTGATCGTGGCCGTGGTGGCTGTGGTCGTTCTTGGAGTTTATACGACGTCGGTTCCTCCACGTCTTTTGACAGTAGTATTGCAGCTGCGGACCTGAGGATTTCACAAACAGACGCGGCACAACCCACTCCATGTTATAGAAATCTGGGTTCTCAAAACGAATGTCCAAATCTTTCACAAATCTCGAAAAACCGCCCTCAGGTCACCACATTGTCCGCCCGGGCCGGGTGGGCCAACTAGCTCCACCCCGCGCCGGAATTCCTCTAGTCTAGCTCCTCGATGCCGAAGAGCCCAACGAGGCACTAGCCCGCCAGCGCGCCGGAATTACCTTTAAGCTTCGCCGCTTCGCTATACCTCGTAGAGCTCTTCGGCATCGGTGAGCCGAAAGCAGCCGCGCCTCCAGTGCTGGATTTCTGCACTGCCATGGCCGCCTTCATTTGCCACTCCGACGGCGGCGCCCCGTTCGCCGCGGGCGCTGTGCAGCGGCCGCTTCGGTCGTTGACTGTCGCGTATTTCCCGTTGCATTAAACGGCGCAGATTTCTACTATTTGGTCTCCTCTTCTTTCGCCGCCGAGACCTTCGCTGTAGACGACGTCGTCTCTTTCGTACCACGTTTTATGCGCAGATCGGCGCGTGCCAGGCGGGCGCGCGCATCGCCGTCCACCGCCCCTCTCTTCTTGCTTCTAGGCCTGTCGCCGCGGTTACCGAAGGCGCCCGAAAGAAAGGAAGGGGAGGGGGTCGAATCGACTGCGACGTCACTGTTTCCCTGCTCGATCTTCCTTTCTCTTGGGTCTGGCGACGACGACGACGACGAGCCGTTGCTCGTCTCTCCCTTCTCGCTTCCCGCCGCCCAATCGCGCGCCTCCTCCGCCGCGGCCGCGCGCTCGCTCAGGGGAACGAGGGGCGGGCGCCGCGGGCCCGCCACCGAGCGCGCTGAAAGGGAGAGGGTTCGGCGTCGTCGTTCCGCCTCCCCTCTGGTTCCGTTGCGCCCATCGATGCGCAGCTCAACTGGTCATTGGGTTTTGAGAGGCATGTCTGGTATTCGTACCATGGGCGATGAGACTGGTGCGTTATCATCATCATTACACCCCACTTTCGCCGGATATCATATTCAGTTTGGCGAGTGACTAACGGAGACGACGACGACAACGACAAAGACAGCGATCATTTTCAGACTGCCCGCTCTAACTGGTACTCGCGTCTTGCCTCCTGAGCGCCCCAACCTTCGATGCCCGCCCATGTCGTTTTCGATCGCGCCCCGCTTCGGGGGGGTTGTCTCCCTCGTCGGCCACTGGCTGAATTTCAAGGAACTCTCGAGCGAGAGCGCCGTTCCTGAGTTCGGGGGCCTCTTTGGCCAGGGGTTTGACAAATATCGTATGGCGGGCCTTTGTCGCCGTGCCTGGGCCTTTGCCGTATTTGGCGACGGCGCCGCTCTTGAGATCGGGGGCCTGTCTAGTAAAGGCTTGCGCAGATACATTTTGAAGGGTATCGAACGAGGGCCCTTGTCGTCGTGGTTGGGCCTGCACCAATGTGACTGGAGCGCGGGAAAATCTCGAGCGAGAACGCCGTTTTTTTCAGTTCGGGAGCCTCTCTAACCAACGGCTCTTTGAGCACAGCGTGAGAACGTATCGAGTAGGAGCCCTGGTCGCCGTGGTCGAGCCTCCGCCAACTTGATTGAAGTGGAGCGGAATCTCGGGCGAGAGCGCCGTTCCCGAGTTCGGGGGCTTCGGGGTAAATCGTGAGGAAATATCGAGCTAGAGCCGTTGTCGTTGTAGCCAGGCCTCCAAAGGCATTCTTGTACAATCAAGCACGATCTCCAGCATGAGCTTCGATTTCAGAACGGTTGCAGCCAGCGTGGAGGCGAGAGCGCGGAACCTGTTCAGACATCGACAACATGTATCCCCCAGAAAATATCCCAGCACAGCAACCGAACAGCGATGTGTATAAGCATATATGGAAGCATTCCCCTTAAGATTCAGGTGAAAATCCAATTGTCGAATTGTGCAGTTCTCGCAGTCGCAGTCGCATTCGCAATGACCGTCGCAGTGGCAACGGCCTTAGGATCCAATGGAATCCTAAGGATTCCTGGGAATTGGAATCCATAGGAATCCGTAGGAACCCTTAGGAATCCCTATGACTCCTGATCCCTAAGGATTCCTAAGGGGTCCTAGGGAATCCTAAGGATTCCGAAGGATTCGCCTGCCTCGGCCTCAGCCTCAGCCTGCCTCAGCCTCAGCCTGCCTCAGCCTCAGCCTCAGCCTGTCTCAGCATCAGCCTGCCTCAGCATCAGCCTCAGCATCAGCCTCAGTCTCAGCCTCGGCCTGCCTCGGCTTGCCTCGGCCTCAGCCTCAGCCTGCCTCGGCCTCAGCCTCAGCCTCAGCCTCAGCCTCAGCCTCAGCCTCAGCCTGCCTCAGCCTCAGCCTGCATCAGCCTCAGCCTCAGCCTGCCTCAGCCGCAGCTTGCCTCAGCCTCAGCCTCAGCCTCAGCCTGCTTCAGCCTCAGCCGCAGTTGCCTCAGCCTCGGCCTCAGCCTGCCTCAGCCTCAGCCTCAGCCTCAGCGTCAGCGTCAGCCTCTCAGCCCCAGCCTGCCTCAGCCTCAGCCTCAGCCTCAGCCTCAGCCTCAGCCTCAGCCTCCTGCCTCAGCCTCAGCCTCAGCCTGCCTCAGCCTCAGCCTCAGCCTCAGCCTGCCTCAGCACTGCCACTGCCTCAGCCTCAGCCTCAGCCTCAGCCTGCCTCAGCCTCAGCTTCAGCCTCAGCCTGCCTCGGCTTGCCTCAGCTTCAGCCTCAGCCTGCCTCGGCCTCAGCCTTAGCCCCAGCCTGCCTCAGCTTCAGCGTCAGCCTCTCAGCCTCAGCCTGCATCAGCCTCAGCCTCAGCCTCAGCCTGCGTCAGCCTCAGTCTCAGCCTGCCTCAGCCTCAGCCTGCCTCAGCCTCCTGAGCCTGCCTCGGCCTCAGCCTCATCCTGCCGCAGCCTCAGCCTCAGCCTGTCTCAGCCTCAGCCTGCCTCAGCCTCAGCCTCAGCCTCAGCCTGCCTCGGCTTGCCTCGGCATCAGCCTCAGCCTGCCCCGGCCTCAGCCTCAGCCTCAGCCTGCCTCAGCCTCAGCCTCAGCCTGCCTCAGCCTCAGCCTGCCTCGGTCTCAGCCTCAGCCTGCCTCAGCCGCAGCTCGCCTCAGCCACAGCCTCACCTTCAGCTTCAGCCTCAGCCTGCCTCAGCTTCAGCCTCAGCCTCAGCCTGCCTCGGCTTGCCTCAGCCTCAGCCTCAGCCTGCCTCGGCCTCAGCCTCAGCCTCAGCCTGCCTCGGCCTCAGCGTCAGCCTCTCAGCCTCAGACTGCATCAGCCTCAGCCTCAGCCTCAGCCTGCCTCAGCCTCAGTCTCAGCCTCCCTCGGCCTCAACTTCAGCCTGCCTCGGCCTCAGCCTGCGTCAGCCTCAGCCTCAGCCTGCCTCAGCTTCAGCCTGCCTCAGCCTCAGCCTCAGCCTGCCTCGGCGTGCCTCAGCCTCAGCCTCAGCCTGCCTCAGCCTCAGCCTGCCTCGGCCTCAGCCTGCCTCAGCTCGGGCATTGAAAATATGGCGCAGGACTGGTGTTCTAGGAACACGAAGATCACGAAGTGGCCCACAGTTGGCTCCGGGCATTCAAAATGTGTCCTGGGAATGGTGTTCTGGGAACTCGAAGAACACGAAGTGGCCTACAGTTGGCTCCGGGCATTCAAAATGTGGCCTGGGAATGGTGTTCTGGGAACACGAACAACACGAAGTGGCTTACAGCTGGTTCCGGGCATTAAAATGTGGCCTGGGAATGGTGTTTTGGGAATGGATTCCTAAGGATTCCTAAGAATTCCTACGGATTCCTAAGGATTCCTGGGGCTGCACCTTTGTCCGGTTCCTTGTCCGGATCCCGCCCAGACCCCCCTGGGGCGTCAAGATGCTTTCTTTTAGTCCCATTAGAAACCTATCAGCAAAAGGACGAAGGCATGTCTTTTAATCCCATTAGAAACCTTTCTTTTTATCCCATTAGAAACCTATCAGATGCTGTCTTTTAATGACCATGCAACGACGAAGGCGACGACGTCAGGTCGGCTGATATTTGTGGAGTTCTGTATACCTGAACGTACTGAGGTGCGGATATACCCGGTGCCGTTTTGCATGAGTTTTGTTTGGGGCATGTAGAAATGACGCCGATGTTACTGAATACTTACATTTCGAACTGGAGACGCATTCAAACAACGATGTGTTTTCTCCGCCGTTGGTGAGCGACGATATCCGTGTGTCAGCCATTGAGGATGGATCAGAGCCGAGCATGTGATGTTGGTGCCCAAAAATGTCGAATCAGTGAGGTGTTGGAGGTTTTGCTGTGGCTCTTGAAGCTGTGGGAAGTTTTGGGCCGCGCCGCCTCCGCAGTGAAGGGGGCGCGCCCTCGGCGACGGCGCCGCTCCCTTCCATACACGCCCCTCGCGCGGGTGAGTCCACGGAGGAGTTGAAAGAGAAGGTGCGGTCCAGGGAGGAGGAGCTCAAGAAGGCCAAAGAGGAGGAGCGCCGCCAGCTGCCCGCTCGCCGCCAGGCGGCCGAGAGTAGGCAGCGCCCGTCCCACAGTTCGTGCGTCGGGGCTGGGGGGGGCTTTACGTTGGCGGCGGCGCGCAGAAGGGGATGGCACGAGGGGGGCGGCCTCCTCGGAAGGCCAGGTGGTTCCAAGATAGTCTCCTGGCCTCCGAGAGAAGCCTTTTGAGGAGCCAACCTCGCGCGCGCGCCAGCGTTCCAGTCCGCATCTCTGTGGTACCAGAGGGCGGTCGGGCCCAGGCGGCGGTGCGCTATGTTGAGATCGTCGTCGTCGCGCCCCCTTTTCTTCTCCTTCGCAGCCTGGGAGGCTCCAGGACCACCCTCAACGACTGACGATCCGAGGGAAGAGGAGTGTGCTCAGACGGGGCGGGCTCTTTTCAAGAGGCCTGGTTTCCATGAGTGGGGTCGATGGTCGACGGCGCTTCAGAGCAGGATTTGATGTTCACCTTTGAGCCTCTTGTCGTTTTGAGCATGAGGCGTGCGACCGGATATACTGCCCCCAATCCCCTTTCGGTCACTTTCCGGGGAAATCCGTTTTGAGTTTATCTCACCCCCCCACAGTTAGGGCGGCGCGTTCCGCGGGGAATTGCGTTTATATCCCCACCTGAGTGGGCTTCTTGTTTTCTGTGCAAGCCTCCGCACGGGAGCCTCACACCTCACCCTCTTTTCTTGTCGTCACCATCCCACCATGATCACCCATCATCATGATCACCCGCCAAGTCTCTCGCTCATCACTCATCACACACTCATTCTTCACTATTCCATGATCCCATCATGGTCACCAGCAATCATCATCAACTACTCGCACTCGTTCTCACTCACGCAGTCGCATTGAGTAGCCACCCACTGACTCATCATCCCACTCACTCATCATCACGTCATCGCACGTAGAAACTCGCAGGCGGGAGCCCCCTCCCTACGGGGCCCGTACTTCATGTTCGAACCCGAGCGGGTCATCGCGATCCTCGTAATCGTCATCTTTTTTGGGCTCCTCAGGCCTGAACTTCGAGGAAGTCTCATACGGGAGCCTCTTCTGTCAGTGAATCGCGAGGAAGTCTCAGGCGGGAGCCCCCTCGCTCTGGGGCTCGCGCTTCATGTTCGAGTCCGAGCGGGTCATCAAAATCCTGTAATTGTCATCACTTTTGGGCTTCTCAGATTTGAATATTGGGGAAGTCTCAGGCGGGAGCTTCCTCTGTGAGTGAATCGCGAGGAGGTCTCAGGCGGGAGTCCCGTCACTATGGGGCCTGCACTTCATGTTCGGATCCGAGCGGGCTTTCCAGATTTGTAACTGTCGTCACTTTTGGGCTCCTCAGGTCTGAACATAGAGGAAGTCTCAGACGGGAGCCTCGCCTGTGAGTGAATCGCGAGGAAGTCTCAGGCGGGAGCCCCCTCCCTATGGGGCCCGCATTTCATGTCCGAGTCCGAGCGGGTCATCCAAATCCTGTACGTGTAGTCACCTTTGGGCTCTTGAGGCCTGAGTCTTGAGGCCGTCTTCAGCGGGAGCCTCGTTTGTGAGTGAATCGCGAGGAAGTCTCAGGCGGGAGCCCTTTCTGGGATCCGCACTTCATGTTCGAATCCGAGCGGGTCATCCAGATCCTGTAATTGTCTGCCTTTTTTCGCTCCTCTAGCCTGAACATAAAGGAAGTCTCATACGGGAGCCTCAGGCCTGAATCTTCAGGCTCCTCAGGCCTGAATCTTCGGGAAGTCTCAAGCGGGAGCTTCCTCTGTGAGTGAATCGCGAGGAGGTCTCAGGCGGGAGCCCCGTCCCTATGGGCCCGCATTGCATGTTCGAATCCGAGGCGGGCCATCGGTTTCCTGTAACTGTCGTCATGTTTGAGCTCCTGTGTCTTGAATATGGAGGAAGTCTCGAGCGGGAGTCCCCTCCCTATGGGGCCCGCACGTCACATCGGTAATCCGAGCGGGTCATCGCGATCCTCGTAACCGTCGTCATGTTTGAGCTTTTCAGGCCTAAGTCTGGAGGATGTCTCGAGCGGGAGCCTCGTCTGTGAGTGAATCGCGAATGGCGGCGCAGGCTTGCATGGCGAGGGGTTCGTCTCGCGGGTCTCTTCGGTGCTGGTCTGGAGCTGTCTAGAGGCGCCAGTGGGCAAACGGTTCGAGTGAGGGACGGGGGAGCAGGAGTGGGAACAAGAGGTGGAACATCGACATGCGCGCCCCTGCCAGGAGCAAGGAGAGCTGCATGAGGAGAGCAGGCGGGATGCAGATGAGGAGGGGGAGAAGGTAGAGAAGGACGAGGAGAAGGAGGAAGAAGACGAGGAGTAGGAGTGGGAGTATGAGGAGGAGGAGTGGGAGTATGAGGAGGAGCGGGAGGAGGAGGAGGAGGAGGAGGAGGAGGAGGAGGAGGAGGAGGAGGCGGATAAGAATTTAAACGTGTAGGGCGAGACTGACCATGATAATGAGGAGGAGGAGGACGCAGAAGCGGGAGGAGGGCCTGCGCCAGTCGAGGAGGACTAGGGCGAGGGGCAAGCTAAGTAGATTAGAAAGATGTTCTACCGCTGCTGGCGGAAAACCGGGGGGGGTCACTACCGGTTCGAACCCCTCCCCCCCCCCCCATCCGGAAAACCGGGGGGGGTCACTACCGGTTCGAACCCCTCCCCCCCCCCCCAGTTCATCATGAAAAGGGGGGGGTCACTACCGGTTCGAACCCCTGCCCCCCCCACCCTCAAAACCGGGGGGGGTCACTACCCGGTTCGAACCCCTTCCCCCCCCCCCCCCCTCGAAAACCGAGTGGGGGTGCGGACAGTGGTGGGGAGGGTGTTGGTGGGGACAGTGGCGAGGGGACAAGCGGGACAGTGGTGGGGACAGTGGGACAGTGGGACAGTGGTGGGGAAGGTAGTGGTGGGGACAGTGGTGGGGACAATGGTGGGAACGGGGGGGACAGTGGACAGTGGTGGGGACGGTGGTGGTGGGGACACTGGTGTGGGGACAGTGGGAATGAGGTGGAAACAGTGGGACTGGAGGGTACAATGGTGGTGGGGTCAGTGGTGAAGGCGGTGGCGAGGACGGCGGTGGGACAATGGGACAGAGGTACAGTGGGGACAGTGGTGGGGACAGTGGGGACAGCGGTGGGAACAGTGGGACAGCTCAGTGGGAAGGAGTCAGTGGGACAGTCGGGACAGTGGGGATAGTCGGGCAGTGGTTGGGTCCGTGGAGACAGTGGGGAGAGTGGAACCGTGGTGGGAACAGTGGTGGGAACAGTGGGGACAGTGCGACAGTGGTGGGGGCACTGGTGGGGACAGTAGGGACGGTGGTGGAACCAGTGGGGACAGTGGTGGTGGTGAGGACAGTGGTGCTGGGAACAACAGTGGGGGATGTGATGCGGACGGTGGTAGGGACCGGGAGTCGTTTGCTGGCGGTGCGTGTGGGGAGGGGGGGGTCGAACCGGTAGTGACCTCCCTCGGGTTTTCGAGGGGGGGGGGGGGTCGAACCGGTAGTGACCCCCCCCGGTTTTCCA